CTTTCCCTGAAAAGGGGAAAAAAATCTGCCTAAAAGATTTTACATTAATCAACTAAAAGATGCAGTAGGAGGCTAAAGGTGAGGTTCTGGCATATTGGTTTTGGAGGTTTTTCTTTTTTTTTTTTTCTTTCCCCTTCATCTTAGGGTCTATTTCTGTGGACACAAATTAGGCTTTGCTGAAAACAATTTCTGCCCATAACTGAAGAATTATGATTTAGGGGAAGATGATGTTTTATTTTGAAAGGGCTACAAATACAGCTGTGGTATTTGGAGTGTTTGACAAGGAGGACGTAAATATAATTGAGCACATTCCTGTGTGAATGAGAGATTTAGTCCCTCAATTCAAAGTATATGTGAAATTTTAAGTTTCACTGAAAACTTAAGACAATCTGCCGGCAATCAAAGGCAGCCCTTTGCTCCTAAAATAATAAAAACTGGTGAGCACTCAGTAGCCCATCAGGAATATTCAATCTGGTTAGAACTGAATGGAATGATTAAAAAATTCCATAGAACTAAAAAAGTATGGAAGCAACATCAGCCTTATGAAACCATATTGTATTTAACTTCTATCATAAAACTATCTACATGTACATGCTAATTTATTACATTGCTAGAATATTTTTTTTAAAAAAAGAGAAGCCAACCTTCAGTATACTCCTTGGTTCCATCCAAAGGATCAACCCATATCACAAGCTTTAAAAATTAAAAAATAAGGAAAATTAACAAATATAAATCATGTAAATTACCATGCAAAGTATGTAATTCACTTTAGTGCTTTTATTTCCTTACAGCAGACCCTAATCCTAACCCTTACAGCAGTAAGGAAATTTAAGAGGTTCAAATTTTTAACATTGTGATATGACTGAAGCATACAATAGTATTTTACACAAAAAAAGTGTAAGGCTTAAACTGAACATGGAAATGACATTACTTTCTTATCTCCAAAGTAGATTCCTTCCAAATAAATCTGAATCATAAGTTGTAAGAAGCAAATTTCCATTTCCCATTACTGCACACAGGGATATGCAGTGTTTCCAGGTCTGGACAATCCAGGTCATGATTCTCATGAATACATTTCAGTTTTCAAACCAAAAAGAAAAAATGGCAACATTGAAATAACCTTTTTTCTTAATACATTCTTAGCTAAAATGAATAAATAATATAGATAGAGTGTAAAATATGAAGACATATGTATAGCATTACCACATTACCTCTTCCTCTTTAATTCCTATGTACTGAGAAGGACAAGTACTCTTCAATATTTCTTCACAGTGACCATCTTCAATTAATTCCTCAGTTACCTCATCAGTGGACAGTTCCTAACAAAAGGATTTTCAAAATTAGTAGAAAAAGGTGCCGGGCTCACCTCGATTTCCCTTCAAACTGTGGATTTGCTTGCAGCTTACTTGCCAAAGCTAACACAATGGAAGGATGAAAAGGGATGGAAATACTTTTTAAAAAACAAACAAACAAACAAACAACAGATGATTTCCTAAAACCTGCCAAAGCAAACTCCACTGCAAGTTACAGCAAGTTAAATTGTTAGCATGAAATAGATTAGGTGCTTACTTCTTCTCCTATGATTGTCACCTTGGGAAACTTCCGTGCCAGGGAAGCACAAATGCTCATTTGTGCCAGTCGGTCAGCTTTGGTCTGCAAGTCATTGGCTCCAGTCTGTCAAAGGATGGGTAAGAATTTGTGTATTTCAAAACAAACAAACAAAAACACAGCACAATGGCCCATATGCCACCCTGAATATCTACCTTGTAATGAAAAAGAAGTCTAATTTGTCAAATCATCAACCTAAGAAGTGATGTTGGGACAGAGAGGCTAAAGACTGAAAGAAGCAGAGTGTCCTTGTACACCTCAGAGCTAAGGCAGACGGGTATGATACTAGAACAGTGCTTACATGCTCTGTGTGCTGTGTTCTTCTTATGCACTGATGCAATTGTACTGGATATATATTTGTGCAAATACTACGCTACAAACAGAGTAAATTAATTTGAGCATGAACTCAGATATAGTACAAGAAGAGACAAAAACAAAAGATAAGATGTTAACAGGAAAAAAGTTAAAATTTAAAGCTCGCTGGAGAGACATGGCATATTAGGAAAGAGGAGAAATATAGGGAAGGTGTTAGTAAAAGGTGATTTAAAGATCTAATTAATCTAGCTTGTTTTTAAAACAAACAAACAAAAAAGAAACTATGATGTGTAAACTTCTAAATAATGAATGTTTCCTTATTCTAGCAGAGAAAGACCAAGGAGGCCCAGAAGCTAACCAGTGAAATTCAGTTGGACAGGAATGC